GTCCTCCGAGATCTTCATCAAGACGGACAACAGGGTTTCTGGGAAGTACTTCGCTCACATCATCAAGGTGAGGTGCTTGGCTGCGAGGGCCCAGTCATGGGGGCGGCCCTCCCCCTGCCTGAGCGAGAGCCTGGGTATCGGGAGCTTCCGGTGGGTGGGGCGGGTGGGTCAGGGGCTTGAGGCCTGAGTGAGCGCGTGTGGTAGTGGGTGCGGACGGGGCAGCCGGAAGCCCGTGTGTGACAGCTGCCCCACGCGTGTCTCTAGGAGGTGATGTCGGACCTGGAGGAGAGCAAATACCAGAACGCGGAGCTGCGGCTCTCCATCTACGGGCGCTCGAGGGACGAGTGGGACAAGCTGGCACGCTGGGCCGTCACGCACCGCGTGCACTCCCCCAACGTGCGCTGGCTTGTGCAGGTGCCCCGTCTCTTGTGAGTGCCTTGGGGAGTGGGCGGGAAGATGGGGCAGAGACCAAGGGCGAGGGCCTGCCTCCTGGGATGGCGGACGGTCTCCTGTCCCTGCTGAGCCCTCTCAGGAGGAGGCCCTTCCTGCGTCTGCTCATCTGCCCAGCCCGGCCCACCCTGTAGGTCCACATGTGCTTCTGTGGTCTCGGGCCGGGCTCCGGCCCTTCCTGGCTGCAGGTGCCTCACCTGACCTGCCCTGCCCGCCCTGTGTGCCCGTCTCATCTGCAGTGATGTGTACCGTACGAAGGGCCAGCTGGCCAACTTCCAGGAGATGCTGGAGAACATCTTCCTGCCACTGTTCGAGGCCACCGTGCACCCCGCCAGCCACCCGGAGCTGCACCTCTTCTTGGAGCATGTGAGGGGGCGCACGGCTGGGTGTCGGGGGAGATGGCCTGCCCCAGGCCCGGGGCAGCTCGGGCCTGACCCCAGGGTCCCGTGCCAGGTGGACGGCTTTGACAGCGTGGACGACGAGTCCAAGCCCGAGAACCACGTCTTCAACCTGGAGAGCCCCCTCCCCGAGGCGTGGGTGGAGGAGGACAACCCGCCCTACGCCTACTACCTGTACTACACCTTCGCCAACATGGCCACACTGAACCACCTGCGCAGGTGAGCACTGCGGGGCCTCCCCCCGCTCACCCTGCGGGCCTCCCCCTGCCCCCG